GTTATGTTATGCAAGAAACATAAGCTGTATGCCAATGTGCTCATAAAATCTGGTTGGAGCTGTTGTAAATTAAACTGAATTTGTGCTGATAGCCAGTTGCGCCTTCAAATAATTTTGGCAGTTGGTAATGTTCAACCGATAACAGCTTTCATCCAAGGCAATGGACCATCCATGCAAAGTTTAATGTCAGCTTAAAACATGTTTCACTGGATCATACTATTCTTTAATCTAAGCTTAAATGCATTAAATATGTTTTTGGCCAGTGCCACATGCAATATTGCGGGCCATTTTTTGGCTCTCTTGGACGTTTCACATTTCAGGCGAAATTCGTTAGTTGCCGAAGCACCACAAAGTATGCAACGCAATGCGGCAGATGCTGCAAGGATAAGCCGATTTGTATTTACTCACCCGCACAAAAAGCCCTTGTATCGGCTAACAACTGATGCAGCCGGAGCTCCACTTGCCGCACTTGATGGATGAGTCCTCCGGCTGATAAATTGCCACCCACTAATCGAACATCAGAGCCGGATCAGAGTGTCCCTCTGCCGTTGATGTCCTTTCAATTTGGAGCTTGGCGCTATTCCTGCCATTGGTGATTGGATACTGACAGTATAACGATTTAAACAGCAATTTAATCCGTTTAGAAAGTTTGGTTTTGGAAACTCTACATATTTATCTTGTTAGGCAAACCACTCGTTTGCTTTCCAATTCGATTTTATTGCAATTTTTGTACTACTTAAACTAGGCAAATGTACAAAAGTAGATAAAGTCCATACGAGTCTAGGATACAGCTAGGTAGAAGTTGGTTCCCATGTAGGATGAACCGATAAGTAGAACAGATGCGACCTTCTGCGGCCCGGATGCTTTATTTACAATAGATAGTCGATGGCCGATGGCGAAGGATGAGATTCCGCACAAGGATTCGTTGCATTCGCGAACTAGACTCCGGATTAGATGGCGAACTCGCCGTGATCCTCCTCCAAGGAGCAGGGTCTGCGGAACTCCTGGCCCCTCTCGTGGATCCACTTGTTCGACACTGCATGGATATGGATATGGATATGATAAAGTCCATCTTCAGTGATGGATAAATGGCGCCGGACTCACCCCACTTGGTGCCTGTAAGTACGGGACAGGCGGCATGGCGAGTCCTCACGTCGCCCTGTCCATCTCTATGGAGATTCATCCAGAAGGCAGCCGTTCCCTTCTTGGGAAACAGAGCGGTGTGCAGGGAGGTGAAGACGGTGGCTCCTCCCTGCTCCACATCACTCATCTGAGATTGGGGAGGCCAGGGAAAGATACGAAATGAATATCATGCCATATTAATATATTACACATATTTTTGTAAAACCAATTAGTTAGCAAAGCATCAACTAACAATAGTTTGCCGAGCAAAATAAAAGTATCTCCTAGAGCGGAGAAAACCTCATTTGTAAGGATGCCTTGCACTTTGTATATTTCCCTGCCACTGTGCGTTCCTTTGCATTCACGGCTTTGGAATGATGCTGCTGCCTCGGGCGAATAAAGTGAAAATTCACCGAGTGCTATTATTTGTGTGGGACGTGCGCGTGCATATAAATGCGGATTATTATGCTTAAAATGGAGTGAAAGCAACTTACATAGAATAAAACGGTGGCAATGCGGTTGCCCAGATTGAGACCCTCAAAGGCGCGCTGCTCCTCCTTCTGCAGAGGATTAAAGCATATTAATTTCCTTGCAGCTCAGTTAGGGTATGTAAATAATGAGGGAGACCCACCCTGGCAAAGTCAAAGTGCGGCTCGTAATGGCCACCAATGCCGTAGTTGACCACCTGCAGCTCCTCGGCGGAGTCCATGTCCAGGCCAGTCATGTCCGCCGTGCGCTGCACCACCGTCTCAATCACCCGATGCTCGGGGGTCTTCAGCCAGGCGGACTTGCTGATCCTGTAGTTCGCCGTCTCCAAGGCTCCGGTAACGGAGTTCTGGACCGTGGCCCTGCGGAACCGCGGGCGGGCCATCCGCTTGATCAGATCGATCTCGCCGTCGTACATGGCATCGTGGAAGATCACAATGTACGGATCCGCGTGGGCCTCCTCCAGCTTCAGGGGACCCAGGCGCAGGAAGGGCACGCCGTTGGTGACATAGCGGCAGCGCAGGGATCGCAGATCCGATGGCGATGGCTTCAGTTCGCCCCTGCACAGCATCTCGTAGGCCCGGCGCTCTGTCATATCGAAGATGGCCGGATCGCTCTTGGCCACGGGCTGCAATGGGCTTATCTAAGTGGTGGCAGTCTTGGCAGTTTGGCTTTGGGTGTAGCTTACCAAGTCGGACTTGGGCATCTCATCGGTGCCGTCGTCGCCCTTCATCTTGCTCAGCTGCAGCTGCTGGGCGATCTCCTTCTCGTAGAACCGCTTGTTTCCATTGGCGCGCTCGTGGTGTGGCAGCAGCTGGAGCAGCTCGTTGGTCATGGACAGGGCACTCTCGATGTTGCCTGGAAGCAGTGGAAGCAAATGGGACACTACAGAAAAACTGCCTTTTACTGCCATCCCCACCCCAACATTCAAGCAAAACAACATCAAAGCGACTGAACCGTAACTACTTGAATAGGCAAGTAGCACATTAGTGAGCCTCTTATTTAAAGTCAAGAGTTTGCTCTTGACCGGCCGCACAACTAATTCATCTTGGTCTAAATGGGCCTTAAGTGCGAGGCGCTGCCCCAAAGTATGCCACAGTTTCTTTGAACTTTTACCACCTGACCCCGAACTTGCTGACCATAAAGTCGATTGGCTTGTTTCCAAAGTTTGCAAGCTGCTCACTTATTTATTCATTTGCGTCCAGGTTCTGGCCCTCATTTAGCCCGAGTCTGCGCCACTAATAAGTTCTGTCCCTCAGTTGACGTAGAATCCGGCTTCAGCCTCCGCCTGCCTGGCGACCTCAGCTTTTGAGGTCCTGTCGGCGACAGGAATTTAAATTTGCATCTCAGGACACATGTGTGCCACGAGTGGTTGGGTGCAGAGAGCCTGTCACTTGCCTCTTGGCGCACCCATTTGTGTTGGTTTTCGTGTTGTTACCCAACACAATATGGCCGCACTTCCGCCACGCCCACCAGGAACAAATCCTGGTGCATGGGAAAAAAGGGCTCCATGTCGAAGCGAAACTCGCACGTCAAATTACATTGCTCACAGCGTTTTGTTGGCATAGCAATCCGTCAGTTAGGGTATCCAAAAGCATGCAGGGATGGGCGGAGAAGTCGGCACTAGGCCTGCCCAAAATCACCGCATTAGCCAGCCAACTAAACTGGCTACGTGGCTGCTACCAATTTCTGCCTGTGCGGAACTAACCAAGGATACGGATGCGTGTGCCAGTCCGTTGATGAACGGATAGGGGACACTAAGCGGCGTAATAAGACGTTAATAAAGCACACAACTCCCTGGCCCGAGGACGTGCCGATCCTGTCCTGCTCTACGTGATAGCTACTCCCTCCTCCCGCAACTTTTCGCACTTAATGGAGCACCCCGAGAGCGGCTCCAGGTGGAAGGTATGGCAAGCATGGCTAGTATGGAAAGCATGCAAAGTATGGAAAGTGGCAGGACAACAGGAGGCAAGTGGCCGGGACTGAGTGCAATTTCCTGCAACCAAATGGACCTCGAAAGTGCCATGCAAACGAGCCAGGAGAACAACGAGGTGGGCGGCGAACACACTCCGAGAATTTAATTACCGAATTTGAAGGACACTTTCAGTTGGGAGGCCATGGCGAGATTTTTATAACTTATTAAGGCCGAACCGACTTAGTTATAAATTATAAAGAATTTCATGCAACGCTTGAGTATTTTTTGTCAAAGGAGTCAGCCAAGCAGCCAAATAAGTTTCATAGTCTAAGTTCACGTGTGTTTTTGCCAGTGCAACCGGGCACTTTGCGGACGGATGCCTTGGAGTCGCACTGGACGTGGACGTGGACGTGGACTCACCCTCCTTGTAGGTGGAGAAGGCCAGGTACTCGAGGATGTCGGCCTTGGTGAAGCTCTGGGTGTGGTTGGACGGCTCCTCCAGCATGCGGGCCATCGCCTCGTTCATCCAGAGCACCGTGTGGTAGTAGTCGTGGTTCACGTACGACTGTCTGCCCAACTCGAAGCAGTCATCCGAGGACATCTCCGTGCTGCGGGATAATAAATTTGGTCAGTGAGCATCCCGCTCCATTTCGGGCTGTTTGTTTTTTGCCAAACACAAAATCGATGCATGTACCTGTACTGAATGCCATTCAGCTTGCCACGCGCCACACTGGAAGTGTCCAGCTGGTAGGTGTCCTGCAGGCGGAGCAGGGCCACCGCCGCGCCATTGAGATCCTCGTCGGAGGGGAACTTCAGGAGGCTGCGGTACTGGGTGATGTTCTGCACGAAGTCCGTGCCCACGTCGTGCTCCATCAGGTTCTCCACCTGGCGCCAATCGGTGGTCAGCCGCTTGGTCAGCAGGTAAGCATTGATTGGATTGGATACGTAGGCGGTTATGTCATTGGAGGCATCCGAGTGCTCCCTCTGGTACTCGTCCATTTTGCTGCAATTTAAAGAGTGGGAAAACTTAGCAGACAGTTCACTAAGTGCTTTTCGCGAGCGGGCAAATTGCATTTCAGCTGGCGGAAGGCAACGCCGAAGTTTCAACTTGGCCGCAAAAAATGCAAAAGTGGCAAGTCCTGCGGCAAAATAAGCTGCGGCTTACGGAAAATGTGGTAACTTTCCGGTTTGTCAATAAGTAAATGCAGAAAAAGTCGGCTTAAGCAGATTGCGTTTAGATATGCACCGTATTTCAATAGTTAAAAGCTGCTGATAGCGGAGAAATAATTGTTTACTCAAAGTTTATCAACCGACCTATATGAGAAGTGTTTATTCACCATATATATTTGAACTAAATCCGATCACTGTAACACTTTTTATAAAGCATTGAATAAAGAGCAAAAAAGCGGAAGGGAGATATTTGACAGCATATTATAACTTTCTTGTTCGCCATTTTCTTATTTGAAAAATGCAGTACTGGTATCTACGTGCCTTTATTTTATTCTCGCGCAGTAGCGCACTTAGCTTAAGGTGAACAATAAGTTAAACAAACTAAAGTAGCAATAGGTACAACCCACTTGTTATGTACAGTCGTTGGGGGATGATGATCTTCCGCTGATTATAAATCTAGGTCTTGTTTTTGGTCTTTTAGCCGTTCGGTGTGTCAAGTTCTTGGAGTCAAAGTGGAGGGTGTACAACTAATTAGAGTCTAGGATTAACTGCTTCCAGGGCACTAGACCACGTTGACGCGGTTGTCTGGCGGCGGTCGGTGGCACCACAAGCTGCCCAGCACTCCCAGTCCGATGAAGAACATGGTGAAGGTGGACAGGCCCAGTATGACGCCAGTGGTCACGTCGTGGACCGGAAAGCCGGGGAAGGGGTCCACCACGAGTATCACCAGCAGGCCGCAGGACTTGAGGAGGCAGAACACGGTGACCAGGATGTATCCGGAGCTGTAGCTCCTGTTCGGCAGCCACTCGCAGTGGCGCGACCTGAATCCCAGGAAGCCCAGTCCCATGCCGGAGAAGGAGGCCACCAGGCTGAACTGCAGGTAAAAGGACTTTCCCAGCTGCAGGCGAAAAAGGCAGGTTACGCAATTGTTGTCATGTATCCCTAAAATGCATTAGACCACTCACGTGTGCAATCATGTAGATGATGAGCCCCGCATTCATGGTGCTGCCCAGGACGAGCATCAGGGAGACGACGGCCAAGGTAATGGTGGCGTTGGCCATCTTCTGCGGATAGGAGCTGTTCTTCTTGCCCTTTCCCTGGATGCTGCTCATGTCCTGCTCCCGGTCCAGCTCCTGCCCCTGCCCCAGCCCCTGCTCCTGGACCCTGGGACTGATGACGGCCATGGATCGATCGGCGATCTGCATGGGAAGCGGCTTCACGGTCTCGTAGTGGAGTCTCTGGGGGGAGAGCCGGTTGTGGCGAAGTGGCAATGTGGGAGGGACTCCAGCTGCTGCTCCCACCTGCTGACTTTGGTAGATCTGCTGGCTCTTGTAGATCTCCAGGCGCCTCTCCAGCTGCAGCTGCTCGTAGTGGGCGGCATTCCGGGGCGTGGAGTGCGCCAGTCGCGGAGGCGGCTGCATCTTCCTGGGCGTGGTCAGGAGCTCATGCAAGGCCCGCGTGGCGGCAGCTGCATTCTTTTGCTGCGGCGTTGAGGTCCTCGCAGCGTACTGCCTGCCCAGTTCCATGTTGCTGAGGCAGGTTTCCTGCTGCTCCTGCTCCTCCTCCGCCAGTTCATCGTCGTCCGCATCCGTGGGCACCACTGCATAGCGATGGGCGCGCCCATTGTGCATCTGTATGATCTCCTGGTTCTCGTCCACCAGCTCCTCGTCCTCGGCGGTGGGCACCATCTGGTACCTCTGGTTGCTGTTCTTATCCACTATCAAGAAGGTCTTGCTGCCAAAGTCGCTGCTGAAGGCGTGCTTGATCTGGCTTGGATTGGGATTGGCGTTGTTGCTGATGCTCCTGGGCTTGGGCGGCAGACTAAGCACGGGTGGCAAGCTGGCGAACTGGGTCTCCTGGCGGGGTTCCTCGTGGAAGGAGTGCGGCTCCTCCTCTTCGTGCACTCCATGCCTGGAGCCATAGCGATCTAGATTGTCCTGGGATCTGGCCAAACGCTGGGCCGCCTGTCCCGGCACTATGGCGTATCTGCTGGCCCTGCTGCTGTTCAGCTCCTCCAGGGGCACCAGGGCATAGCGGCCACTAGAGGAGTGCTGCTGATGTGGCTGGTGTTGCTGGTGTTGCTGCTGCTGCGCCAGGTGTTGCTGGTGCTGCTGCTGCAGATGTTGCTGCTGCTGCTGGTGCTGTTTCCGCGTCACCGAGCGCGTGGACATGCTACGCTGCATGCGCAGGGGACCCTCGCGGGGATCGCGAGTGGCGCGCGGAGGAGCGGCTCCAAAGTTCATCTGGAGGCTTCTGTTGTAGATGGACTCGACGCGCGCGGAGGCGCTGCCGCTGGGCACCGGATAGAACTCGCTGTTCTGGCAGAAGGCCGGGTTCGTATAGTTGTGCTGCGACATGTTGGCACTGTACTGTTGGCGATTCCACAACTCTAAGGGTGTTGCTCACTTTTCTTGGGCTTCGCGTGGCTCACTGTTCGCGATCCGCTCACGTCGGCAACTGCGACTCGACTGATCTGGAGAGCCGTTCCAGCCGGCAGCTCCTCAACTTCCTCCACTTCCTGCGCCGGCGCGCAGTCGAGTGGATCGACCCCACCCCTTAGAACAGCATTTACTTGTACATAAGACGCCCGTACAATGACCGACTGTGTTTGGCGCGTTCCATTAGGCCAAAACATCTGCTCCTGCTCGGCGAACGGGGGTTGAAACGCGTTTCAGTTCCAACTGCGACTACAGAACCCAAAACCCCTGGCGGATTGCAGGAGCAGCCGGCGTTCCATTCGGCATTCGGCGTTTTATCAGCGTTTTTAATTCCTATTTACCCACTCATATGCGCTCCCTCGCGACTTTGCTACCACTTACTTTGGTGGAGTTGCGGGGTATGATGAATGTGTTTTAAATCCGCATTGGATTATGCATAACCCATAGCATATTGACATCATTTAACTATCGTGAAAGTATCTTTTGCGCTTATATAAGAACTAGTTGTTCTTGTTTCTTTTGTTCACTCGCTGCTTGTTTCTGTGCCGAAATATTTTAAGTAGTTTATGGCTTGTTGAAAACATATCAAGCCTTTATTATATATGGCTGGCATCCGTTTTTAAACAAACTTTTTATGCCTGCTTTCACAAAACAGTTTAGTTTAATATGCACATATTTCTGACGCAAATGCGTCCACTCATAAAGTAGCAAATAAAGTTAAAACAAAATGCATCCCGGTTCGGCTTTAAGAATTAAAAAAATTTCACATGGATTTGTGGAAAAACTTGATTCATCTAAAGGGCACCTTTTCGTCGACACAACCTCACCACTTATCAAAAGTAATACTTGTTCGCTGTTCTGATGTTTGTGCAGACCAAAACCTTCCCTAGAGGCAGCTCCTACCCGGATTTTTGTTGCCCAAGCGACCGTTACATTTGCTTACAGAGAAAACTGGGTGTTCATGGGGCAACTTCATCCGAATCCTGCCTCCCACGTGCATGCATATATGCCTTTGAGCCCGCAGGCTGGATGCACGCGTGTTGTGCTTTTGTGGTGGCCAACTTAATTGCCTTTCGGCCAGGAGCAAATCAGCGCAGTCGGTGGCGTTTGTCAGCGGATTAGCCAGGAATTGGAGGCACCAAAAGCTGGTCGGAAAATTTAAGCGACAACTTAAACGCCGGCGGACGGCGGACGGCACGCGACAAGAGTGCGGGGCTGCGGCACAGCATCCGAAGGATACGCGGATGCAGATACTCAAAGGCAGGGGCAATGACAGCGCACAAGGATAACAGACAGGCACACAGCTGTCAGCTGTTTGCGAGGATCCTGTCTCGTCCTTTGTTGTGCCACAGCCAAGGCACGAATGCAGAAACAGAAACCGAAGTAAACTGAACTGAGCAGCACTGAAACAGCTCTGAAACAGCCGCAAAGATAGATCCTGAATCCGGAGTCCGGAGTGCGACTGGCATTATTTGATTAGGGGAGTTGTCTCACCGCATCCTGCACCCTGCCCTCTCCCCCATATTGTTTCCGCTGGCAGTTGTCATATATGTACGCCACTAGAGCCCCTTTGTACATAAGCAAGATATGTATCTGCAGTCATGTGTGTGAGGGGCGCCTCCCCAGATACAGATACAAATACACACACATGCAGCTGTAGTAAGGCAGCATAGGTGCGTGCAACAGCTGCCTCAGCACGTGGCAAAAGTAATTACCACCAAGCAGGCGACTACCTGAACCTCCATTTACGAACTAGCAACATCTTGGCACCATTTGCATAAGAAATGTGTTTATGCTAAGTATCTCGGGGTCTGACTGGAGCTGCTTCTTAAGGCCTGGGGCTCGTGTAATCGTCTGAATAACTCAGATCTCTAATTAAAACAGAGAAATTACTCCTCCCATTTGCTGAAGCAGCAAGCAGAAAACACTATTTCACAAAACACTATTTATCTGAGCTACTACTCTTGACTACAAAAACATACTAAAACATGCCGCAAAGTTATTAAATATACAATAAATATGGAAATTGCAGCAATAAGTTTCAAATCAGAAGGCCATATTCACCAGAGGTAAATAAATGGTAGCAAACAAAGCCACTAATTACAAATTGTATTTGCTCGTTGGTTATGGGCAAATAAAAACTAAATTCACTCTCGGCGGGTCAATTACAACACGCGGTAAGCTATTGCACATTTAATTATGGCCAGAATGCGGGATTTCATAAATATCTGGCAGTTGTTGGCTCAGATAAGCAGCAGCAATTGGTGCGTTATTTAGGCCCAATTACGCAAGTGAATGCAGGAAGGGATACTCACTTTTTGAGGAAGTTCAGCTTGTCCTCCTGGACGCGTATGTAGCCCTCCAAGTTGGTAATCAGCACGGATTCAGTCTCTAGCAGCTCCTCCATCTCGGCCAAGGCCGTGTACACCTCCCCGTTGCCAGGCACGCCCCCAAGGAGCAGGACGCCGAGTAGGAACATCAATCGCCAGTCCGCTGCCATTTTAAAGTCTGCAAGAAGATGGAAAACAGTTTGTTACCAGGGCGTTGGTAAGCGAGCAATACGGTAGGTAATGCCACCGATTTGGCCTTAAATCTCCGGCCATGTGTAAAGTGGAAGCTCCAAGCTCACTGAACCCGAAATCGACTTTCATATTGATTAATATCGCCGAATATTGCGGAATATCGCCTGAATATCGAGCTAGCCGAGGCACAGAATTTGCTTTTTGCGAGGGCAGCTTTTATTTTGGCAATTTATTTTAATGAGCGTTTTTTAATTTGACCTGCCGTCGAGCGGTTTGTTTTATGGCGTTTACTTTGCTGACTGTACTGACGACAATAAAACATCCACTGAATGGGGAAATGCTCTTTAAGTGGCCGTACTTCCCTTGCCAGAAGCAATTTGCAATTTATATGTACTTCCCTGGTTGCCTCGGCGAATATCTATTGGAAAATGTGCAATTTGTCGCAGTCAAAAGTGGAGCGAGTAAAATGTTCAGTTTTACATATCTCTGCATCACTTTGACTTTGCTGGTTGCCAGTTGAATTCAGCAAAGGGATAACTTAAAATTCTTCTTTATAATTGGCCCGTTTTTATATTCGTTTGGCTGCTTTGAAGGTTTTACGCGTAGCATTTAATTCCATAGACGAGCAACCCGTTTAATCACTAACTCACATGGCAATCCCCTGTGGCCTTTGTATCTTGTGATGTATCAAGTTTCGTATATTATATATTGTTTAGGCCACTATACGTACCCCCATCAGTCTCGGTTGACAGGAACAGCGAGTTCAAGTTCGTTTCCAGTTCCGTTTTGAGGCGGGACTACATAGGTTGCGGCTTAGTTAACGTGCCAATAAATTTTAATTGATATTAATTAGCTGCGCGCTGTTAATTCGCATCTTTAAGATAAATGCGGCGCTCAATCTGCATACAGAAGATGTTTGTCTGCGGTGGTTCGTTGGCTTCGCTGGATTCGGGGTATTTGAGGGATTTTGAGGCCAAAAGTCCTTCGAAAAGCCACAAGGACGAATTAAGGCCGATGCACGCCCTTCAAGGCGCTGGGCGTTGAATAATTAATCAGCAGTAATTAATTCTGCCAGGGCAAGACAGCGAGACAGCCTCGCACTTGAGCAGGTAATTGCTCACATTAATCAGCCAGCAGGAGATAAGATCTTCTATTAATACGCGGCATTTTGGCCAACACTTCGTTCTGGCCACTTTGGTCCAGAATTATGGATGTGCCAAGGCGAGTCGATTTATGTCAGCTAACATGTGTTAAAAGCGAACCCGGCTGTCAGCAAAATATTAAATAATCTCGCCCAGACCGGTTCGTCCCCTTTACCAAATTCTAAACCTATTCGGATTTCCATTTCTAGTCGGAGAGTTTCGACACTCCGATCAGAACGAGGGCAACAGCTATTAAGTTTTACGACACGCCGTTCAATTCCATTTAACTTTCCAGTTTCAGAGCCAGATAGATCACGATGTCGATAGAGGTTTTCTGGCTAAGTTGGCCCTGCATCGCACGGGAAATTAATTGGGGTTCAGGGAACTCCGTTAGTTATGCAAATGTATCTGAAAGATACGCGTCGCTGCAGCCGAGACCCGAACCCAGCCGAACAGAAATCGCCCATTGTGAGCGATGCTGCTGATGACCAGACCTTTAACGGTTCTCCCAGTCCCAGTCCCAGTCCCAGTCCCAATCCCAATCCCAAGCCAAACCGCGTTACACAATCAAACTTATTGAAATGCAAATATCATTTCACGCAGAGAATATCTGCAGTTCGTGGGGGAAATGAGGAATTTCTGCTTTCGACAAGTTCACCGAACTCCGGCCGCCGGCTTTATGCTTTCTTTATAGAGTGTGGACCAAATGACTCGCCTTAATTTGCGGAATTCCAATGCAACAGAGGAGCATGTGTGTTGCCATGAGTTGCACAATTTCAGACCAATGAAATGAAACAGCAGGAAAAAGCAACACCCACACGAAAGTACGCAGAACTAAGGTGCGTTTCATGATTGTGAGGAGGAGTTCTTGGGCGAGATTCTTACTGCATTTCATGCGGAGCATTCCTAAGCCATTTATGCCTCTGCCCAAAGATATAAAAGATATAAAGATATACCAAAATATCTTTCTTAAAAGGCTATCGAATAAAACTAAAGTCAAAGCTTAAGTCTAACAAAACATTTAGATAATCAGGATTAAAACGGTTGTCGGCTCAACTATAAATGTCAGCGAATCAGCGATAATTCGGATTAAGTATTAAATATAACATCTTTATGGTAATGCATATGAAATTGAATGAAATTTTAAACCTCAATTCATTAAGATACACAATTTACGAGTTGCGATCCAGCTTGTGCATGTACAGTTAGCACATGACCTTTGTTTTTGAGTAAAAGCGTTAAAAATAATTAGGCAGAAGTACCTGCCAAGTTGTCTGGATGTTTAACGCGGAATCGCTCACATTTCTGGCTGATCAAACTGATGGAGCGGCATGCAAATGAAGCGCATATTGAAAATATGCAAAATGCAGAATTATTAATATTAAGAGGGAGCAGCAATAAATGACTGCAAATGTCAGGCAGCTCCAATTACCATAGACTGCGGTCGCCAGAAACTGCGAACTGGCCAGAAATTCAGCAGAAGATTTATGCCCGGGACAAAGCTGAAATTG